CCCGCAGGAGCCTCATGCTTCCTCTGCCAGGTGTGGATGAGGCTTCCACAATTCGGGGGGATTGCCGAGATGATGCGAGGGAAGCTACCTCGAATCCTTCCTTCCCTTTCTGACGTGCTTTCATTCTCTCTTTGCTCTTCTTTCCCAGCACCTCCCTCTTTCCCCTCCCTTCTGCTCCTTCTCTGTTCCCCAAGCCGAGAGGAGTCAGAGCCTACACAGCCCCTTGTGCACACACACCTCCACACCCCACTCCCCAACGGAGACAGCCACTGCAGCAGCCAGACAGACCTCTAGGAGGTTAAAAGCACACGGCCACCAGCCGGCAGCTCTAGGCAGCCAGGTGTGAGGCCTCGGCATAAGGCCTCTGAGCATAAGGGACCTTGGAACTCACCAGTAGAGCCCAGGATTGGCAGGGTCCTGGGAGGTGCTGGCCGGAGCTGGAGCAAGGCCCTGACCAATGCCCACCTGGCCTGGGAGGGGGTGGGGGTTGAATGACCTTGGCCCCATGCCAGACAGGGCCCCAGGAGGCGCTGCTCTGGGCCAGCTGAAGACGTGGGCTGCTGCTGAACTTCTCTCAACCTCCAGGGCCCAGAGCAGGAGTCCCAGGAGCTGCTTGTCTGGGAGTTGCCACGGCAATCAGGACCCTTCCTACCCCAACCCAGTCCTCACACCTGTCTCCCCAGAGGGTTGAGGGAGGGCAAGCTTAACAACCAGAATTTTCTTGGCTCAGAGACTCTCTCCTAAGTATCAGCACATTTAGCCCTAATGACACATGGAGAAACGGCAATTATCTCCATTTATAAGTGGGGAAACTGAGCTCACAGAAGTTACCCACTGGTCGGGGGTACAGCATATACAGCAGAGTGAATGCTTTCTCCTGTATTGCTGTATCAAAGGCCCTCAACAGCCCAGCGTGAGGACTGCTGGGTGCTTGGCGTACAGGTGCACCCTACCGAGGCTAGGCAGGGTATAGGGAAGCCCTCTGTGGTCCTGTCTGCAGGAAGTGAAGGAGAGACATGCCTTGAGGTGCCCTGGGCAAGCCCCTAGGCAGAGAGCCCACCATGTCAGCTCACCCACACTGCCCCCATGGCCATATTCCTTCATTCCTGGAGCATTTATTAAAGCGTCTTTGAGGGGACCCTGGGTGGCTCCTGCGTTAAGCATCTGCCTTCAGCTCAGATCATGATCCCAGGGTCCTGGGATCGAGCCCCACATCGGGCTTCCTGCTCGGCAGAAAGCCTGTTTCTCCCTCTCCCACTCCCACTGCTTGTGTTCCCTCTCTAGCTGTGTCTCCGTCAAATAAATAAATAAAAATCTTAAAAAAAAAAAAAAAAAAAAGCCTCTTTCACATCAGGCAAGCATGGGAGTCTGCACCAAAACAGGGGAGGCATTGAGGAGGCCAAAGCCAGGAGTAGCCACTGGCTGGAGAGGAGAATCAGGGCAGGCTTCATAGAGGAACTGGACCTGAGCAAAGTCTTGAAAGAGACAGAGGAAAGGGGTGACAAACCCATGGTCTCTCCAGTACTCTGCAATTACCCAGGCCCCGTTACCAAGTACCAGCCAGGAGAGGGGGAAGTGAAAACCCCAGATGAGACTGGGACCACGATCCCAGTCGCTCGCAGGGAGCCAGGAGCCCAAGGAGGGGCCCCTGACTTGACAGGAGAAGGGCTGTCTCTTCTTCAGTTCCCTAGGGAAGACAGGGAGGGCATGGAACTGCGGCAGGGGAGTTTGTGGCTGGGGAAGAAGGATGGGAAGAAGTCTTACCTGCTAGTTTCTCTTTCTAGGTAGGACAGGGGGCGAGCTGAGCTGCTGGAAGAAAGCTGGAGTAGGGCACTTGGAAAGCGTGGGCAAGGTTGGATGTCAACCTTGGAAGAATGGGGAGAGAGAGAGAGCCGACTGAGGACGGTGTAAGGATTGCTGAGCAGAGCTGTGGCCCCCGCTGAAGGCAGGGACCATGGGCTCGTCATGGCAGCAGTCTGCATGGCTGGGCGAGCTCCTCCGGCAGTGCTTGGCAACACAGATCCAGATAGGGGCAGAGGGCTGTGGAGGAGAATGGAGCGGAGAAAACAGGGAGCCAGGACAGTGGGGGCATGGATGGGGGATCTTGCTGGGGAGGGGAGGGTGAGGCCACAGAAGGCTAGAAGAACGGAAAGGGACGGGGTGGGGGGTGAAATGGACAGAGCCTGTAACCAGAGCTGGGATATTCCACTCAAAGATTTCAGAGGGCTCAGTCCCAGGTGGGATAGGTAGAAGGCCGGAAGAAGAGCTGGCTGGAAGGAAGTAGATATGAAAGTCGCCTGCCTCCAGGAGGTCAAGAAGCTTTTATTCATTCATCCTTTCATCAATCAATATTTATCAAATGAGAAATTTGAGAGGCAAGGTGGGGGTTCATAGGGGGAAGGGAGGGAAAAATGAACAAGATGGAACCCGGGAGGGAGAAAAACCCTAAGAGACTCTTAATATCAGGAAACAAACTGAGGGGGTGAGGAGGGAAGGGTGGCTGTGGCTGAGTGACGGACGTTGGGGAGGGTATGTGCTGTGAATTGTGTAAGACTGATGATTCACAGACCTGTACCCCTGTGGCAAATAATACATAATATGTCAATTAAAAAAAAAATGAAAAAAAAATTTATCAAGCCCAGGGCACCCGGGTGGCTCAGTCAGTTAAGTGTCTGCCTTTGGCTTGGGACATGATCCTGGGGTCCTGGGATGGAGTCCCGCATAGGGCTCCCTACTTGGCGGGGAGTCTGCCTCTCCTACCTCTGCCTGCTGCTCCCCCTACTTCTGCATGTGTTCTCTCTCTGTCTTTCTGTCTCTCTGTCAAATAAATAAATAAATAATTTTTTAAAGATTTTATTTATTTATTTGACAGACAGAGATCACAAGTAGGCAGAGAGGCAGGCAGAGAGAGAGGAAAGGAAGCAGGCTCCCTGCTGGGCAGAGAGCCCGATGCGGGGCTCGATCCCAGGACCCTGGGATCAGGACCCTGGGATCAGGACCTGAGCCGAAGGCAGAGGCTTTAACTCACTGAGCCACCCAGGCGCCCCAATAAATAAAATCTTTAAAAAATATATTTCTCGAGCACCAACTCTGGCCAATCCCTATGCAAGACACTAGATGCAGGGATGAGCAAAATTTCTTTCCTGCTCCCTGAGGGGCTCACTGTCCCATTAAGGAGGCACATTAATGCCATGATAGCACTCTGTGGTGACACAAGTGTACAAACGTTCCCAGGTGGTGTGGGAGCACACGGAGGGCTCATCACCCAGGAAAGGAGGGGGCGACACTGAATCTGAGCGTTAGGAATGAGTTAGGAGTTACCCAAGCAAGAGACGTGGGAAGGGCTGTCGGGGAGGGGGGGGGGAGAGACAGAGCGTTCTCCAAGGAGCAACCAGCAGGGCATGTTGTGAACCCCTGGCCATTTGGTGAGGCCAAAGGGTAAAGGACAAAGCAAGGAGTGGGGAGAGGTGAGGTGGGAGGAGCAGGATCCCTGAGGACCCTGTAGGCCAGGCACGAGGGTACTTTGAAGGGATTTTAGCAAGGGAGCAGCAGAATCAGATTTGCATTTTAGAAAGATCACTGGGGCTGCAGTGTGGATAATTGATTGGAGCTGAGTGAGGAAGCAGACAGAGAGAATGGTTCAAGGCCACAGGGCAGCGGGGGTGGCAAGAAGAGGGCACAGTCAAGAAATATTTAGGATTCCAAATCAGCAGGATTCAACGCCTTTATTCGTGGGGGACAGGAAGGAGAGAAGGTTCAAGGACGATTCCTGGGTGCCACCAAGGGAGTTGGAAAAAACCGGAAGAGTGCATGGGGGCGCGGAAGGGGTGAGCACAGAGAGAGCTGAGGGTCTCATTTTAGGACAGGTCGCATTTGAGGAGCCTAAAGACAACCAGGACATATCCACTGAGCAGGGATTTATGGCCAGGGGCAAGGTCAGGGCACCCCGTAGTGATGAAGAGGCGAAGACCATTGTTTCCACAGCTCCACAGATTGTACTTAGGGAAGCAACACCTTTGTTTGAGAAAATATCTTTATATCTTTGTATGCTGCTGGGGTGAAAAGGGCAGAGCCTAGAGCCTGGGTGACCTTAGGGACAGCATCGCCACAAAAATGGCTCAGCGGCCCTGTGTGAGACTTGAGAGGAATTGCTCAGGCCCCTGAGAAGGAGGAGAGCAGGGCAGTGGTGGGGGAGAGGGCCTGAGAGGGAGGGGGCAGGCAAGGGAGACAGGACAGGGCAAGGACAAGCCAGTGGAAATTCCCAGCTCACAGGGGAGAAATTCTCCACTGCCATGTGTGTCATCTGATCAGCTGTGGAAGACGCCCCTTCTCCCCATGTCCCCGCTGCGCCCACACAGACCCAGGTCCTTAGTAAAGTTGACTCTGTTCATACCTGCTTTCTGTGAGTAGGGATTTAGGTGGGAAAGGAGGAAAGAGCTTCATTTCACATGTGGGTTTATGGGGCATTGAATAGTGTGAACCCATTAAGAGGCAGAGCCTGGAGGCAGGGGTGGGGGAGGGCAGGACAGCAGGAGCCTCTGGGAACGCCCAGGACCCTGGAAGCTGGCCTTGGACTTGGGGATGTGAGGAGCTTCTCCATCTAAGCTGGAATCCCATGCCCACCACTAGCCCTGCCCCTGCCCCCCTCAGGCTGGGCCCCAGCCTGCGGCAGCCTTACCTCTGTCCAGGCTCAGGAACCTGGAGGTTCCAGCTCAGCGCCTGGGGGCTGCCCCCCTCCCTCCAGCTGGGAGGTGAGCTTAGGGCGGAGCAAGCCAGGGAGCACCCCTCCTCATCCCAGCATCATACCTCTCACCCACAGAGACACACACAAGCCTGCTCCCTGCCAGTCTGACCAGCAGGTCCGTGGGTCAGCAGCTAGGAGAGGAGCAGGCTGGACACAAGAGACCCACCAAGATAGCAGAGATCAGAGGCTAGAGAAACAGAGGTCCCAGAAGTAGAGGCAGCCGCTGAGGCAGCCGGAGCCGGACCCAGGGCAGCCTGGTGGGTGAGGCTGGGCCAGCATGTTGGCCTGCCGGTTCTGGAGAGCTATCAGCAGGGCGCTGTTCGCCGAGTTCCTGGCCACGGGGCTGTACGTGTTCTTCGGGGTGGGCTCAGCCCTGCCCTGGCCCTCGGCGCTCCCCACCGTGCTGCAGATCGCCATCACCTTCAACCTGGCCACGGCTGTGGCTGTGCAGGTCACCTGGAAAACCAGCGGTGGCCACATCAATCCTGCCGTGACTCTGGCCTTCCTCGTGGGCTCCCAAATCTCCCTGCCCCGTGCCGTGGCCTATGTGGCTGCCCAGCTGGCAGGGGCCACTGCGGGGGCTGCTCTGCTTTATGGGGTCATCCCAGGAGACATCCGAGAGACCCTTGGAGTTAACATGGTAGGTGCAGGGAGGGGCACCTGGCAGGCCTAGGAAGGGGTAAGGGTGGAGGGCCAGGCCTGAGGAGCAGGGACGGGAGGTAATATCTCAGCCACGTGCTCCTTACCTGCTCTGGGCTGAGACTTGGGACACAGGAGAAGCCGACTGTGGCCTCAGTGCTGGCAGAGCAGGAATGGAGTTATGGCACCAGGAACAGGTGGAACAGGGCCAGGAGTCAGGAAAGGACCAGGCATTGAAGGGTCAGGGTGGCCAGGGATACCTGGGGCTGTGGGTAGTGGCAGGAGTCCCGGCATGCCCTTCTTCTCTCCCAGTCTACCCCACGAGCCCTGCTCCTCGGCGTCCCCATGTTCCTCCTTCCCCTGAGGCCTGTCTCACTCCCCCAGATTCCCCTAATCATCTATCCTTCCACCTACTTCCCCAAGTCTCCTCCTTCTACTCCTACCCACGGTCTCCTCCCAGTCTGCTCAAAAACCTGTACACCACCCCCTCCCCTGCTCTGAGCCTTCCCTCCCCCATCAGAACTAAGCCCCTTGCCAACTATCGGCCCCAGCCAACTGGTGGGCTAGGAGGGGGGGCCGCTCCCTTCTGCAGGGAGCAGGAGTCCAGGGCTGACCGGAACTCCACTGCACAGCTCTCCCCATCTCCTTGGGTCCTGGAACCTGGGGTGGTGAGGTGTCACCCCCCTATGGTGGGGCAATGAGGCCTGAGCGGGTCACCAGCCAGCATCACCTCCAGCACAGCCTCCTCATCCAGGTCCGGAGCAGCGTCTCAACAGGCCAGGCCGTGGTTGTGGAGCTGGTTCTGACCCTGCAGCTGGTACTCTGTGTTTTTGTTTGCACCGACGGCCGGCAGGCATCGGGCTCCCCGGCCACCATGATGGGGATCTCTCTGGCGCTGGGGCATCTCATTGGGGTAAGAGGCAAAGTGGACACCGTGGACATGCACTCACTGGTCACTCCCCGAGGAGCCTGCAGGGACTCTGAAGGCCAGGAAGTGTCCCTCCCTGAGTCCTTAGTGGGTTGGGTCGAGGCTGTGTTCCCACAATCCAGGTCTGGGGTATGGTGCTGTCGTGGTCAAGGCTCTAAGCCAGGACAGAGGGGGTTGTCCCCTCCTGGGCCTGCCTTAAGCCTCCTCACACCCTAAACCAGCACTTGCCCTCCAGGTCTACTTCACAGGCTGCTCCATGAACCCGGCCCGCTCCTTCGGCCCCGCCATCATCGTTGGGAAGTTTGAGGTCCACTGGGTGAGAGCCTCTGCTGGCCGCCATGGGATGGGAAGGACCTGGGCAAGGGCGATAGGGACTGTGTCTCTCACCAGTGGGCGGTCCACGGGGACTTGGGGAGATGGGAACCCCACCACAGACCATCTTGACCCCCAAGTGGAGGTTTCCCTTGGCTTGGAAGACAAAGGCAAGTATCCTGGCTTGTACTTCCTTTCTTTCCAACTTCAAGAGCCAAGGGGACCCAGTAGGCTGTTAATAAATGGGCCGGGGCGGGAGACACAGGCTTGGCCCAGGCCTCAAGTCCTGGCTGTTTCCTTATTCACTTCCTCCAGCTGGACCAGTTTCCAAACTTGGATAAAGAAAAAGACAAACAGAAATAGACACACACACACCAGAAGAAGCAGGAACAGCACTTAGCCAGGGCTCCTGGTTGGAACAGGGGAGGCAAGAGGAGGGAAGCAGGACTGGTGAGGAGACTGGGCCCCCACGCAAGGCAAGGTCACCTCACCTGCAGACACTTGGCGGGCAGGATGCCTGTTTCTCCATTTTGTCACCATGTAGAGAGCCTGAGGGGTCCTGGTAGACCAAGTTAATACTAGGGAAGCAGGCTAGGATGCCGAATCTACCCTGTGATCTTGATGACTCATGCCTGCTTCTCTCTGCCCCCTCAGATCTTCTGGGTGGGACCCCTGGCCGGAGCTGTCCTGGCTTCCCTGATCTACAACTTTATCCTCTTCCCTGGCACCAAGACCATGGCCCAGCGACTGGCCATCCTCATGGGTAGTGAAGAAGTGGAGAAAGTGGCAGAAGAGGAGCCCGAGAAGAGAGAATCCCAGTCCAGTTCAGGGGACACAGAATCGGGGAACACGTGTCAGACAGTATAGAACGGGGCCCCTCATCTTTGGGCTTCTGTGAGGAGCCCTTTAGGTGGATAGCCTGCCTTGTACAACCAGATGTAGGTTTTATGGGGGGAGGGGGAGGGGGGAGAGGATGAGGGCTGGAAGGATGGGTAGGCTAGGCCTCTTGTCCTAACAGGGTGGGCCGGGAATGCCAATCCCTATCCCTGGCATTATATTTCTAGACAGAAAGAATCTGGGGAGCAAATCTGTTCAGTTTCCTCCTCCTACATCTCTTAATGGGACAGAGCAGAAGGAGGCAGGGAAATTCATGACTGTCCTCCTCTTCTCTCATCCATCTGGATCCTAGTGGGCATCGTGGGCCTCCAGATTGCCTTGTCTTGGGTATTAGAGCCCAGACAGCCATTCAGCTTAGATACTAAGGGCTATAGAGACCTTGGGGAACCTCAACATCTCACCCACCCTTGAAGGGAAAGCCAGACTTCCCAGAAGAATCAGGTCCTGGGATGGTCTCTGAGCTCTTCATCTCTTCATATGGATATCTCTGCTCTTGGGTATGGTTTGGGGGCTACAGACCAGCCCTCAGCCTAAGGCTGTGCCCTGAGGACAGAGACTGTCCTTCCAATCGATCTTCATTCCTCAGGCCTCTAAATACACAGGAGAGGACCCTGCCCTGGGGAAGAGCTGACCCAGAGAGGAGCCTTTTCTAGGGCAGACAGAGGGGCAGGATATAGGCAAGGGAGGTTTGGGTCTCAAAGGAGAGCCAGGGCAGGCTCTCCCCAGATGTTTGCCCACCTTCCACCCCAAAGCCCCATCCATGGGAACAATTCTGAGAGGAGAAGGTCCTTATCCCAGCCCCCTGTTCATGACCTGGGCCATAAGCTGTCTCCAGCTTCATTTGCAATTTTGCCAGGATCCTCAAAAAGCTACTAATGAAGTCCCAAGGATGGTAAGAACTTAGGAATGACCCAAGAAACCAGAATTTGCAGTTCAATGCTTCTGAAGGACAGCAAGCCTCAGTCGGTTTGTTAGTATTTATAAGCTGCTGTAAATACTGTTCCCCCATGACTTGGGGCCCTATGGATCTCAGCTTCCCCAGCTATAAAATGGGCACAGTCCTCCCCTATCGCCTGCTGTCAAAACAAATAAGAGACTGGAAAATGTTCTCGGAAGTTAAAATGTTAGAAAAACAAACCCAATAAATGATGATTATTGTCACTGTTACTGTAATTACCGGGTTTGAATACAATTGCTGTTGGTAATGGGAGGGTGGAGGGAAGAAGGGAGAGGAGGATGATTGAGAGGGAAGGAAAATAGGCTTTTCTCCTTTCATCTGTTCCACTTACTTGCACTGCCTCCTTCTCTCCTGGATCCACTGACCCGGGAGCTTTGTGTGTGTGGAGGGGTTGAGGAGGGCCACTGGAACAAAGAGACAAGCCAATAAAAGTCAGTTCTTCTCATCTCTATGGTGCCCATCACCATGGTACCCTGAGATACAGCAACCAAATGCATAAAAAAGATAGGTCCTTTTCCATGATGTCTCCAAAGGCGCTGGGCATGGGAGGGGCTCCCAAAGTCTTTCATGGGCAGGGTGACAGAGCCCAGCTGGTAACTAGAGCAAGAGCTGAGTCCCCAAGTGCTTTTGGCCACAGTGACTGTGTTCAGAGTTCTGTGATATTGTCAGTGTGGAGTACTATTTACATCTCTCCAAGCCAGGCCCCTCTCATCCATCTTCACAATCTCTCAGAGCCCAGGGCTTCCCATGCCCTTTTATGAGCAGGGATAGCTGAGTGTGGGGGAGGGGGGAGGGCTGTGATTGACTTGCTAAAGGTCACCCAGCTCAGTACCAAAGCCCCCTAAGGTCTCCTCAGCTCCCAGCTTAGAATTTTTCAAAACAGAGCTCTGGGGGGTCTATACAAGCTCTAGCGGGAGGAAGGAAGAAAGGAAGGAAGGATGGATGGACTGGAAAGTTGACAAAGGCAGGAGGGCGGAGCTCCTGCAGTAGGCTCCGAAGTTCCTAGACAAATTATCTCTGCGTCCCCAGAGCTGAGCACACACTGGGTGCTCAATGGAAGTTTGATGAATCGGTGACCGAGACTGGGTGACTGGGGAGGGAGGGGAGGCGGTCATTGATCAAGAGAATTCAGGAGGTGCAACTTCCAGTGTGCCAGGATGAGAGTGGCTGAGGCGCCTGTGCTTGCAGGGAGGGAAAGCTGGGACCATGGGGCACAGCCGCCCTGGAGCCTCAGAGAGCTCCCTGGAGCTCCTCAAGAGCAGACTGCGGACCCTCTGTCTCGGGAACTTCCGGGACAAAAGGGTCAGACTGCTTGGAGAGAGCTGGGGCTAGTTTCATGAATAGTTCTTTAAAGCTGTGCTCTGTTGGAATAGGCTAGAGCAAGGGGGGAGACAAGCTTCATGAAAAGTGAGGAAATAGGTTAGAATCTGAAGAGCATCCAAAGTTAGACACAGGAATGAGTAACCAAAGGTTAGTGTCTCCTTCTCTGGCGCCCTTTAATAGGACAGCCAGCCATCTGTTTGGATGAGGGAAGGGCTGGCCCTTGGGGAGCCAAGTTCACAGGTACCAGCCAGGGGCAACGGGGCTTCACAGCCCCAGCCCCTGGGCCTGGGGTAGGGTGAGAGGGTGGCAGCAGTGGGAGCGTGGGGAGGACTGAGACCCAACCAGGCAGACCCTCGGTGTGCACTCCCTTCCTCCCAGTTGTCACGGGAAGTTTTTAATTAATGGTGTGTAATCTGATCTGGCCTTTCTCCCCGCTGAGCACTGCCTTCAATCAGCAGAGCCATCTGCAATTGCAATTCATAATTCTCCCGAAAGGGAGGGGGGTGCCTTGGTGATTAATACAATTAGCCTTTTATGTTGATGATTGCCTTAGCAGGAGCAGATGATGTGAGCTCAGAGCCTAGGCAGCCGTGTCCCCAATTGGCTGGCAGGACGCCCCTCTCCACTTCCCACCCCCACTGCTACCTCTGGCTGGAAAGAGGACACACTGGGACCACAGTGGGCAGGGGAGGGGTGCGGGGAGCCCACCAAGGGGCCAGGGCTCTGGGACACATTTGGGCTGCTGGGACTGAGGGGAGAGAAGAGACTTTTCACTTTCCAAAGAACATCACTTTGACTTAAAGGATTCTGTGCACCATATTTAAAAAAAAAAAAAAAAGGAAGAAGGCTACATAAAGGTATAATAGGGGTTGAAAGGGTTGAAAAGGTTGAAATACAGGCTCAGACAGTTACAGCTGGGTGAACTTAAGCAAGTTACTTAAGCATCCTGAGCCTCACTATCCTCACCTAGAAAATGGGATCTATTCAGTAAGGTGGCAGGAACCACACGGGATGAATGTGATTAGCTAGGCAGCCCCCTGACACAAATCTCAGCTGGTGGTAGGGTTGTCGCCATCATGGCAGTAGACTGCTGACTGCCATTCCCTCTTGCCAATGGTTCAGCTGCTTCCCAGCAGTTCCTAAGGCAGCCCAGCAGCCCAGCCCGCTATTACTGAAGGACCCACTTCCTCCCCATTTCCCAGCCTTAGTTGGCTTAAGCAGAGGATAGTGTGGATATGAGTGTGTTGGGGGAGGAGGATCCCAGAGGAAAGAGGAGTCAAGATTCAGACCCAAAGGGCACCCGGCTGGCTTAGTTAGAAGAGTATGTGACTCTTGATCTCGGGGTTGTGAGTTCAAGCCCTATGTTGGTTGTAGAGATTACTAAAAATAAATAAATTTTTTTAAAAAAGGAAAAAACGGGGACGCCTGGGTGGCTCAGTTGGTTAAGCGGCTGCCTTCGGCTCAGGTCATGATCCCAGCGTCCTGGGATCGAGTCCCACATCGGGCTCCTTGCTCGGCAGGGAGCCTGCTTCTCCCTGTCTCTGCCTGCCACTCTGCTGCGCTCGCTCTCGTGCTCTCTCTGACAAATAAATAAATAAAATCTTTTTATAAATAAATAAATAAATAAATAAGGAAAAAAATGAATGAAACTCAAGAAAGAAGGAAAGGCCTCCCCAGAACAGAGAGGAGGAGCACTGGAGTGATTGTGGCTGAAAGCTGGTTTGCAGGAAGATCCAGGAAATGAGAGTAAGGAGGCCAGGTGCCTATCAAGGGGTACAAAGATGCAGGACTTTGAGCATCTGGAATTTCACAGGAAAGCTAAGAAATCAAAGGGAAGCAACCATCAGAGCTGAGCATTTAAGAGGTGGCACCAATGAAAGTCAGGGATCTCTGATTTATAGTAAGGTCAGATGATCTGGAACAAGCTGACTGGGGACTTGATGGGAGAGTGCCCGTGGTCAGGAGAGGATATAGCCTCAGTCCCTCCCAGCCCATAGCCCTACACTCCAGGACCCTGAGCAGCAGGAGAAGAGAGCCCCTTATCAACAGGGATGTTGACCTAGCGCCAATGCCAGGCCCCGGCAATGTCAGAGGGAAGACAGGGAGCAAAGAAGGGAGGGGAGAAGCTAAGGGCTAATCAAGAAGAAGCATCTGGCCAAACAGTGGCCACTGGGGGCAGCTGGGGCAGGGGGTCTGCATGGCCAAGATGTGCAATCACCTCTTGAGGAGGGGCAGCTACACCGAGGAGCAGTCGCAGTCAGCCAAAGCCGGAGGGGAGGCGCGGTTAGGGAAGGGGGCTTATGAGACTGTGGAGTCTGACAGCACTAATTAGTAGGCTGCAGTGAAGGGGCAGAGAAGGGGGAAATGCAAACTGTTTCAGAGCTCTGATTAAGTCAGCGAAAGGGACAGTTATTTTTTTTCCATTTTTAAAAAAACTTTTTATTTTTTATTAACACATAATGTATTATTAGCCCCAGGGATACAGGTCTGTGAATCGCCAGGTTTACACCCTTCACAGCACTCACCATAGCACATACAAAGGGGCAGTTATTGCCAAAACTGGGAGCAGGGGATGCCACTGATGGTGGCAGAGACTAACAACTCCACCCCAGCTCCGTGGACGTATGGAACAAGGCCCATCCAGGCCAGGGCCCAGCCTGGAATCCAGAGAGGAGGCTGGGGCAGTCCT